GTATTGCCCTCCAAACCAATCCATCTCCAATATTCAATTTAGTTCCTTCGGATTCATTTTTCGGATAATTCATTTCCTTAGGACATCATTTCATCTTGGGTGCAGACTTAAACGCCAAGCATCAACAATGGGGTTCAAGAACCACGAATTCTCGTGGTCGAACATTGCTGTCTGTACTCAATTCCCAAAATTTTACCCTTCTTCCACCCAACTCACCTACCTACTGGCCCACTGATCCTAACCGTAATCCCGATATCCGCGATTTCTTTATCCATAATGGTTTAGGTGCTCTCAACCATTCCGTTGCCCGTCTTGACGAGCTTTCCTCAGACCATAGCCCATTAATACTCCAAGTATCACTAGCTCCTATTCCTAAACCCTCTCCTCCGTCCTTCATCAGAGGCCCAGTTAACTGGAAACTCTTTCATCAAATCCTCTCCGATAAAATTGACCTCAGAGTAACCCTGAAAACCCCTGAAGACCTGGACAATGCAGTACATTCCTTCACTACCAAAATTAAAGAAGCAGTCTGGACTGCTTCCTCCCCTGATCACTCCTCAAAAATCCTTAAGAAACATAATTTACCTCAACACCTCCTTGACCTAATCCACATAAAACGCCGTGCCAGATTATTATGGCAACGTACCAGACATCCAGCCGACCGTCACAGGAGTGAGTGTAGGAACAATTACCACTGTAAAAAATTAAAACAAGAATTAGCCACCTTCAGATCCCAATCATTCAATTCCTACCTCACCACACTCTCTGCTCATGATAATTCCCTTTGGAATATCACCAGAAAAATCCTCAAATCCCATCATATTTCCCACCCTCTTCGACGAGATGATGGCTCCTGGGCAGCATCTGATGAAGATAAAGCCGAGGAATTTGCCAAACACCTTTCCTATACTTTCGCTCCTCATCCAGAATCCCATCCCAGCCACACAGTAAAAGTAGAAGAATCCCTCTCAATACCTATCCCACTCTCCTTACCACCTAAAGCTGTTAATCCCTCTGAGGTCAAATACCTTTTACGGAAAATCACTCCTCGCAAATCTCCTGGATATGACCTTCTAACCCCACAGATCCTTCGACAACTTCCATCTAAAGCCATCATATTTCTTACATATATATACAATTGCATCCTACGAACTACCCACTTCCCTCTTTTATGGAAACATTCCACCATCGTCCTCTTCTTGAAACCAGGCAAACCTTCCAACAATACAGCATCCTATAGACCAATTAGCCTACTCCCAATCCTCTCAAAAATTTTTGAAAAGATCCTACTGAAACGAATCCTACCTATAATTGAATCCTATAACCTTCCTACTCATCAATTCGGATTTCGTTCCCAACATTCCACTGTCCAACAAGAACTTCGAGTTGTTGACCATATATCCTCAACCCTAGAAAGCAAGCAGTATTGCTCGGGTGCATTTCTGGACATAGCGCAAGCTTTTGACCGGGTATGGCACGCCGGATTACTCTTCAAGCTTAAAATTCATCTACCACAGTCCTTATACCTAGTACTCCGATCCTATCTTTCCGACCGCTCCTTCCGAGTTCGCTGTGGCACCGAATTCTCCGACTGTTACTCAATTGAGGCTGGCGTTCCTCAAGGCAGCGTCTTGGGCCCCATCCTTTACATTCTCTTTACCGCTGATATTCCTGTCCATCCCGATACCCTCCTGGCAACTTTCGCTGATGACACTGCTATCCTTTCTTCCAACTCAGATCCTGAAAAAGCGTTCGCAAACTTACAAAGGCACCTCTTCCTGATTGAACACTGGTGTAAGAAATGGCGCATTAAGGTAAACGAATCTAAATGTAAACACATTAACTTCACCCTTCGGCGTAATACCTGCCCACCAGTTTATTTTAACTCCATCCAGCTTCCTTTCTCAGATACAGTCCGGTATCTTGGCTTTCTCTTAGACAGACGACTAACATGGAATCCACATACTAGACTTAAAAGACAGGAACTTAACAGACGATATAGACTACTGAATAGAAAATCTAAACTTTCAGGTGAAAACAAATTACTGATCTACAAGACAATACTGAAACCCATCTGGACTTACGGACTAGAACTATGGGGAACAGCCAAATTTTCTAACATCAAACGCATTCAATCCTTTCAGTCTAAAGTCCTCCGTACAATAGTCAATGCTCCCTTCTATGTAACCAATAAAACCCTGCACCATGACCTTAATATCCCATTTATTCTTGATCTTATCCCAGCCAAATTTTCCAAATTTCACCAGAACCTTTCTCATCACCCAAATCCCGTTGTACAATCCCTATCAAGCACCACCCATCCCTACAATCCCCTTCGTAGGTTAAAGCGGCAGTGGCCACGAGACCTTTTGTAAATATGGATATTTTGGAGTTCTAGCAATGGCCAGATTCTCCACTCAAGTCATGAGTGTCTGTGGCTGTAGCGCTCTTACTCATCCTCCGCTGGTTTACAATACCAGTGAAGTGGCTGAGGGAGAAGCGTAGGGATCTCCTAAGCCTCCCTTTTCCCTCCACATGTGGAGGGGACAGGATTGGTTCGGAGATCACCTGGCAAATTGTAAATAATGTATATAGGTATGTTTTATATAAGGTGTTTGTTTTACTTTTATTTCTATTTTTATTTACTTATGTGTATATATATATATTTTTTTCTTTACTCTTTTGTTCTTTCTTCTTATTCTTTTGTTATTACTTTATTTATTTATATTTTTGTATATACGGTATGAATGCAATCTCTGAACTCTATTATAAGTGTCCTTAAACTGTGACAAATTGTAATATTTCTGAATAAAGTGTTTTAATAATAAAAAAGTATTAGTCCGTGGTACAGTCCCCTTTTTATCGAATTATTAACATCCACCTGAAACTTCGTCAATAGTTTCATCTCATCGTAACCTATAACTATTTTACTTACGAAAACTCTTGAAATTGGGCGTTTTCAATCTGGAGAGGGGCAAACTTTGTATATTTAATTAGGTACTAAAAACTCGCAAATATTCATTTGCTTTCTATTTGGATCGTAAGATAATTTGATCACAAAATCGAGAAAAAGGGTGGTCTACAAAAACATAGGGCCTATATAATTCGTTTGTACTATATATGTGGGGGAGGGGGGAGAGGGGGTGTACTATATAACCTCGTTATCCGTCACGCCAAACGTCTTAATATTTTCCGATTTTTTTTTATCAAATTATCTTACGATCGAAGTAGAAAGCAAATTAGTATCTACGAGTTTTTTTGATAACTAATTAAATAGACAAAGTTTACCAACCTCCAGATTGAAAACGCCCCAATTTCAAGAGCGATTTACTTAAATCAAATAGTTGTAGGTTACGATGAGATGAAACTACTTACAAAGTTTCATGCGAATGTTAATAATTCGATCGAGAGGGGTCTGTGACACGGACTATAAAGACTAAGCTAATGAGGGAAACATGTCTCTCCGTTTTAACAGAGATCGATGTCCTTAAGCTAATTAGTGAGAAAATCTCTATGAATTTGAAGGATTCCATGTACGGATAGAAGACTATCATAAAATCGACCTACTTCTCTTTGGGAAGAAGAGAAGATACTGTACCAGGAAGGCAGCCGTACACAGGAGGGGCAGAAGAAGAGTATGTTCAAACCTAACGAAAGATTAACAAGCTTTGAGAAGCTCAAGAAAAATTTACCTTCTAAATACTAACCAGCAGAAGAGCTGTGTTATGCAGGCATGTATTACATCTCCCTTACACAATACTCTTATGTTTCAGGCGGAGTAGGGTTGGAAATAAATTCATATGTGTGCCCTGGAGGTAAACGACACTATGTCCATATTTTTATTTAATAATTTTGTAATGGAGAAACAAATTTTAATAGCTCAAAGTTATTATTACATCAGCAATTTTTCCTGTTTTTGAGAACTATTCCCCAACCTAAGCAATGATTGAAGATAGTTAAAAGTTGATCCTCGATATAGGAAACACAATTTACGAGAATTTTTGCGTCAATAGCTTATATTGTAACCTCATTGCTGCATTCTAAGTGCACAGGCCATTCCCATCTGTCTGTCTTGTGCTTCCTTTGACTTGATGGTATATATACCCCCTTCCAGTTTATATACAATAGACTACCTGGGTATTCTCCACCACAAAAGTTCCACTAGTTGCACTGAGTTCGAGTTGTGGGACACACTTCTTACATAATTAGGGTTTTTCTTTAGTGCAAGTTTGGCTACATAACTCCTTCACACAACCTCTTTCAGCCAAAAGTGAGTTGTTAGAACCTCTCATCCATGGGGATCAAGAAAGAACCTGCTTGACTCACACAAACTATGGAAGTCTTCAAGTCTATCTCATCTTATGTCAGAGTTTTGCCTATAATACTAATAGTGACATATGCAGATGGAGCATTTGATTCGGCATATTAAGAATTTTACTATTTCGGCTGTAGATATATGATTTAGATATTTTTGATCCTTCACTTCAGCTCCTCTTTTGCTGGTAGTCTTGGTCCTCCTCTGGATCCTTTTATTTGGGATTACCATAAAGAGTTCAGGGATAGCAGAAGATCCACAATGGTTGTTGATGCCTTTTTCTGTTTGTGACTGAGATTCCTCAGAAGGCTTCCTCTTGGAATATGGGCGATGAGATGCCATACATGACTAGGTAGGTGCGTCCTAAAATTGTGAAGATTTCTATACTAATTTCATACATACATCATGCACCCTCTCAGATGAAAGTATGACCATAATCGCCTTTTTTTAACAAGGGCCAAGAAACTGCTTTGCTTATTCAAAATTTACTTGTAAACTATAGTATAAAGACATGAACAGACTTAACAGAAGTAACCAGCAACACTGAGCAGTTTCTAATTGTTTCAGTCTTATATGAAAACTATAAGTAGGACAATTGTTCAAATAGAATCTTAGTTAGCGGATCTGTTCAATAGAGATGAGTTAATAATTAAAGGATGTTTTAGGAATTTATTAAAAATTACTGGTATAATAAGAGAGAGGTTCGTTAAACAACTTATAATATCAATTGTATGTTTAATTAAATTATAAATTTATTTTTAATTAGAAAAAAATCCTTAAATTATTTTTGAAATTTAGTATTATTGCAGATTTTCTTTAAGACCTAATGAATCCCAGAAACTTTCTTCTCCTAATTCATCAACTGTTGTGAGTTGAAAGTTTTTGTGATCTTTGATATCTGTGAAGACAATTTTCGGCAAGTGTTGATTCACTGGTTCCCAGTTCTCTCCTAATGATCTGTAATAACATATTATATGTCATTTATTATTATTATATTAGCACTTACTCAGAAAACTTAAATTAGTTGGCAATACCCATTTCTTAAGAAAGATACAAATACATCGAGCATTTGCTTAGACATTTCTGAATCGGGTTCAGTTTCTACAAAGTTGAAATTTAAAAATCCTAAAGTATAAAAGACATCATCACCATGGCAGACACCTATAAAAAAAATTAAAGCTTAAATATAAAAAAACATAGAGTGGATTTATTTTCATCATTCAATCATACTATTCAATTGAATTCTATAACATATCAAAAGTGATGTAAATGATAAAAATGGTCATAAGTATTGATTATTTTTTGATATCGTATACTCTGCAAAGGATAAAGTAAATTTCATTTTATGGAAGTTTTTGATAAAATAAAATACAAGTTTACTAGCATGGAAATGATAATTATTATTCTAATAAATAATTGCTGTCTATTTTCCTAACTGTTAAACGTTTTTAGTGATAATATTGTATCAAAAATAATCATTTTTATGCGAATAATAATTATTACCACAATCATAGCAAATTTCAGGTGTTTTATTGAATAATATCCTGTCTGATTATTACTTATTTTTAATAAAGTACAAATAAAAATATCTTACCTAAGTCTTCTTTAATATCAAGTAACTCGGTTGTTGAGTGTTTTCCTCTATAAGAAAACCTGTAAATATATATTGGTGAAGTATATGCTGAAGCTGACAATTTCGAAGTTTTACTTATGCCAGATTCAAATAGGCGATCTCCAATCAGCTGCAACAATTAATTTTGGATTCATTGTTATTTACATACAGTTTATTATTTTTTTTTTATGCTGTGAAAGATTCATACCTCATACAATCTTCAAAAATTCTCAAACAAATAACCATTTTACATTGTTTTCTGAAAATGCATTTCAAATGCAAAATACTTTTAGTATTTTGTATTTTAATTTAAAAAACAAAATACAAATACAAAGTACTTTGTGATATATGGTCATCATATCATATTACAAAGAATCTACTCCGTTTGGTAATTTATTTTGTGTATTTAAAATACAAAATAAAATAATATTGTTTGTATTTCAGTATCTCAGAATCAAAATATAAATACTTTTTTTTATTTTAAAAATTAAATATATTTACAAACAATCTATTTTATATTTTATTTCTTAAAATGTAAAATAGAAGAAATCTATTTTATTTTGTGAATTCTTGAAGGAAGTTAGTCGACTGCAATACACATATTAAAATTAAATATATAATCCTTAATATAATACAAACTTATATTATGATAAGTATTGTTATTCTTAAAATATTGTATAATATATTTTCCTACGTATCATTTCAATAGATTGAAATTGTCTTTATTATAAAAATTATTTATCTAACCATTGTACACTTTTTATCAAACTAAGCTATATTTATATTGATTGGCACCTCTTGCTTATGTTCATTTCATTACTAGCCAATAGTCACATTTCTGTAACTATATGAAATAACTCAAATATTCTACACGTCTGAAATATTTAGTCAGCAAATTATGTACAGTCTACAAACATAAATGTTACCTCCCTTCCGCTCTATTTTTACCTACTTTTTGCTATCTAGGACAACTGGAAAATCCTCCATCTCTGACCTTTTCACTTACCTATCAAATGTGTCAGTACTTGAACACCCTCAGTGCTCAAACCATGGTTAGTAAGAGAAAATATTACAAATTTGTTTAAATGGATTATATATATATATTATTTTTTTATTTTTAGTTTGTATAACTATTTATATATTTAATTTTAATATGTGTACTGCAATATTAGTTAAGATTCATGCACCATCAATCACTATAGTTTATTATTTATAATCAGCGGTCGTATACTATTATAACTCTGATTGTATTTTAAAAAACATTTTAAGCCCTGAAGATGACCCACAAATTTGGGTTGAACATTGGCAAAAATAAAAAAAAATTTAAAAAAGACTGCGTCCTGAATATTCATCACCTATTTTATTTTGTAATTTAAAATACTTATTTGATAGGTTATAATTGGCAAAATGTTGACAAGTTTTTTCATTGTTTCCATTTTGGATATATAAGGTTGAGTGGCTTGGAATTTTCCCAATTATAACCTAACATTCACGTTATGTCTCTAGATTAGTTTGTTACTGATTTATATTAAAATACTTAATTTAAAAAATTGATCAAGTCTGCTTAAATACATTATTTTAGCTTTTTCATGCAACTTTTCATTTTTGATCTTGCCTGTACACACACATAAAGGCCATTTCATAAAATTTGTTTTTTTGGACTCAAGGAGTCTCAAAATGTTGATTTTTGTTGAAAATTTAGATTAAAAATGTTCACAGTCACAATACTTTTCTTTACTATATATTTCATAAATAGATAATTGAAAGTAAAGAGATTGAAAACTCGTGCTTTAAAAAGGATAACTCCATTTTAATTTATATTTGCTAGTTCAATTTTTGAAAAAATATATTGATAAAGTAAGTTAAACACTAATTAGTACTTGTATGTTAAACGCTAATTTGTACTGTAAACATAAATCTACAAAGAATTATTCTTATTATGGTTTATACTTTAAACTTTTTTTTTTCACTATTTTGGCATTTGAAATAATGTCTTTTTGTCACCATACCCCTCCAATATATCAGAAATAAATTCAGTTAATTTTCCTATAATAATATTTATTATATCTAACCTTTATAAATATTTTATGTCCTTCTGGAGTATCATCAATTTCATATTTTTCTTTGATTTTGTTTGTGATTTCTGACTTCTTATCAGAAGGTGCAGAGTAATTATAATCCAGAATTAGAGGAATCAACTCATCCCAGCGACTTAGCATATCCTCAAACAAACCAGGTTTCGTTAAAATTGCTAAAATAAAAACACAATAGTAACAATTATACTTAAAAATAAATAGTAGCCTCTGTTAAGCGTATAGAATATAAATAATTGAAGGACAATGATTCCTTTTATTCTAAATTATGAAGAATTTATAAAGCTATGGCAAAGAAACAATCAAGTATACTTGAAACTGTAGGTATTGATTATATTTCATTAAAAACCAATTCCATTATGTCTATTTTGAGAGAAATTAGTTTCTCATTTATTTTGGTAACATGTGAGTGGTTTAATATCAAAGATAGACATCTGCCATTTTTAAAAAGTTAAGAAAACACCAATTTTCTGCACATAGCTTCAATTTAAACCAATTCTAATGATTTTTTGTTTTTATTCAAATTGAGTATTCATAGACAAAATCATCAAAAACAGTTTGAGTTGAACTTAAAAAATTAACTTTTTCTCCACTTTCTGAAGATGGAAGATGTCCGTCTTTGAAATGAAACCACTCATATATTCTAAAACTTTATTATAATGTTTCTGTTACTTAGCTTAATCAAGGTAAAAAAGTTTTACACAATACTTCTCTTAAATTTGTCACAGCATGGGGGGACTGGGAAAGTTGCCAAAATTCTTGAAATTAATAAAATTCTGGCACTTAAAATTCTTTAACACATTACATTATAACACGAATCACCTTTTCAGTATTCTCCTCTACAAGACTTCCTCAAGTCCTTAAGACAAGTTTAGCTCAATAAATGCGTAAATATAAATTAATGTAAAAATCAAATGACGTACCTCCAGCTGCAGCCAATCCTTCATCATGTGTAAAAGAAAAAATAAGTGGAACATCAGAACCTTTCTTATCTTTTATAATGTTTACAGGTGAATCAGAAATAAAAGCAGTTGCACTGGGTTGTTCAATTACTGGACCGAAAAACATAAGGGGGTACATATCTCCCCAATACTAAGAAATTAAAATTAATTATAGCAAAGAAATTCAAAACTGAAATGCTTCATTATTGAGATATTGAACATAATTAATGATATATTATTACCACAAATTTATTTATGATTGAAACAATATGTTCAGCTGGTCTATTTCTTAAACATTCAATCATAATTAGTGAATTATTTGTAGGACATCCAAGATCAGTTGCAATTATCATTGTTTTTTCTTTTAAATTATCTGCTACTGCCCATGGATTCAAAGCTACTCCACTCATACAAATGGCTTTGTGAAATAAACCTAGAAAATAATAACGCATAGATTGAATATTGTTATCTTCGGAAATAAATTTTAGAGAATTAAAGTGTTTGCAATGACCTTTACTGAGCGGAGACAGTACATGGTAATGACAACTTCCTCCCCCTGCTGATTGCCCAGCTAGGGTCACGCTGTTTGGATTCCCACCAAATGCTGCTATGTTCTTTTGAATCCATTGTAATGCCAGAACCTGATCTTTTAAAGCATTATTTCCTGGGACTACACTATCCTCTGTGCTAAGAAAACCTAAAATTAAAACAAGGCGAGATTAATAATAAGAAATACTTACTCCATAGCTCACTAGCGGATCTAGGATTTAATTTTGGGGGGGCTTCAGTCGGAATGATTTTTTTTCATATACGTATAACAATAATTAATTAGAAAAAAAAATTAACTACCTATATGAAATGGTGTTTAAGTGATTCTTGAAATCCTATTAAATGTAATTACACTAACAAGAATACTTTAAGAGATAGTTTTTAGTCTTTTTTTCTGTAAAAGATGATTATATTTTACCATTTTGGGGGAGGGCTTCAGCCCGAAAGCCCTCTCCCTCTCCCGTAGATCTGCCTGTGCCGTAGCTCTACAGCCTAAGGTGCGCTTGGCTTCACTGACAGCATTGCACCAGTACTCTCTGCGCGATGCTCTCCTCCTCTAGTTCCTTATAAAGAGATTTTTCAGGTCTTGAACCCAACGTCCCCGAGGTCGTCCTCTCCTTCTGGTACCATACCTTTTTCCAAGCAGAATTCTTTTTGGCATTCTTAATATATCCATCCGTGCTGTGTGACACAACCATTCCATTCTCCTTGCTCTTATGAAACGGGATATGTCACAAGATTCATATAGTTCATTGTTGTTCCGAATTCTCCATACATCCTCTTTCAACACAAGTCCATACATTTTACATAGAATTTTTCTCTCAAATATTTTCAAAGCATTTATTGGGGAGGTGCAAAGGGTCCAAGTTTCCACAGAATATGTCACTACTATTCTTACTAACGTTTTATAATTTATAAATGAAATATAAATTATTAATAATAGCTCAAATATCTAAATAGCTCAAATATAATAGCTCAATAATAATAAATAATAGCTATAATAGCTCAAAAATTTCATCTTACAAAGAAGATGAAATGCTGAACATTTCCCTTGCTTACTGTAAACAGATCCGATTTTAAGTATCTGAATTATTTTAATCTTTATGTTCAACTGAACTCGTTATAATTTGGTTTTCGACACTATTTTTTTCTTTTCACCTTTCTAACAAGTCATTACATTAAGATACGATTTTTAATTATATTCTATTATAGAGAGGATGAAATGCTGAACGATTTCCTTGCTTATGGTATGTAGATCCAATTTTTAGTTTCTGAGATATTTTAACCCATATGTAACAACATTTCAATTAGTTGACTAAAGCCGACTTTACCTGAGCGTTACCACTTCGGAAATCTGACCGATCAATCTAATTCACTCTCCACAAAAAAAGCAAAATACAACTAAAGAAATTTTCACTTCAAAAATAGTTGACAATGAATAATTTCCAGATTTAGTGTAATAACAACATTGTACGCTTTCGTCTTAAACCAAACAGAGTTTCTCTATTTTTTTCTCGCCTCAAAAGTGTAATATGAGAAATATAAATAACTGGATTTAATGATTACAAAAAAGTTTACTATTATTTTCTTTGTAGTATTTAGGAGCAATATATAAAAATAATTCACCTGTTGGGCATAGTTTGTCATACTCTTTTAATATATTATATTTTTCTATTAATGTTATTTCTTTTTATTAAGTTTGCAATTCTCTTTTAATATCTTATATATTTGTTGATAAAACTCTAGTGATGGTGGAGTAGTGATGTTTTCTCCTTGACTTAGACTACCTAACTTATATCAAAGAAAACTATTTATATGATAGATTTTGATGCTGGGAAGTTCAATATTGACAGAACTTTTTTATACTGAATCATTCTTATTTCATTAATTTGGTAAGGTAATTTATTTGTCAACAAAATGATTATTAGGTACTGGAGAAGAAAATAAAAATAGTAAGTGATATTATTTTATTCTGCTTTAAAATGTTCAACCAAGCAGAAAAAAAACCTTACCATACTTAGGTTGAAAAATATAATGGGGTACTTGTATGGAAAAAAAATCTTGTAAATTTGTAAAGCTGTAATAGAATTCATCTGATAAAAAAATTATATATGATTGAGATTCCAATTTTTAAGCAATAATAAAAAATAAAAGTTCATATTTAGCTAAAAACTTGGAATAACAGTATGTCTCAGATATGTAGTGGGGATTGAGGATGTGCCTTATATTTACTGTAAAAACGATAATGTCAGAGTCTCTCTCAGTTTTAATTTTCAAACACATTTATAAAAGTTTTGATAATACATTTCAGACAAAATATTTGTATACAGAGTAAGAGAAAAAATGGAAAATTTTTTCTTGAGATGTTTTGAAACTGGAAACATGTGTTTATTACTATTCTATTCTAAAAATTATAAGATATCCAAAGTTATGAGGTAGACAGTGGTTTGTCATAATGTAATGGTGTCTTCTCTCTCATGATGTAGTTCTGCCCCCACCTCTTTTCTTTAACGCTAATTATATTTGTAAATGTGCATCAGATAAATTTATGAATTTTGGCTGTTTTATTAATACAACTTAATCTTTAATGACTAATACAAAAAAAAAATTATTTATTGAGTTATATAATATCCTGTCACTTGAAATAAAATATTTATCATTATATTTTACAATTTGAATACCTGCTTCAAGATAAAAATGTATTTTATTTTCTTTACCTAATGGACCAAGCCTGTAATTGAATGTCACTAGAACTATATCCCTTTCAAGAAGAATAGAGGGTCCATGGTATCCAGATTTCCCAATCATAAAAGCTCCACCATGAATAAATGCTAATACATCAAGAAGTTTTGTTTGTTTATCCTCGATCTTTTTATCAGGTAACTGAAAATAAAGTAAAAAAAAAAAATACTCATATCATTTCCAATATTTAAAATGTAATAAAAATAATCTATATTTCTAAGTTAAATCCTACTTGAAGGTCCAATATTAATTGTGATTGGAGAATTGAATAGTAAAGATTAATAAGGTCTTTATATTATTTTTTTTCAATTGTTTATTTGCTTAACTTTTCGGGGATTATTTATCCGCTTTCAACTCATTCTAACTAATATTTATGATACAAAAAATTTTATTGTTTTTTTAATTTTATTTTTATATTCATGTGAATGCTGTGATAATTATTTCAAATTGCTTACATTATTTACTAAACTTTGGATAAACATTATTTAATAATTTTTAACATTGACTGATGATAATCCTGACAGAGGCCGTTCTGTAAGGAGATAGAAATATTTATAGGAGCTATGTAGACTATTTTCTGCAGAAAAGTAGGATATTAAAGATTTGTTTCTTAAGTGTCACGTTTTTTGTTGAATAGGAAGCAATAACTAAAATATTTAATTTAAGTAATTAAAAAGTGATTCACAGTATACTAGACAATTTACTTCAAAGGAAAGTAGAGTTTGTCATTGTTAAAATCATGAAATAGAACATTTGAGCGAAAAAACTAAGCAAGTTCTGTCTTTTAAAATCTTAACTTCTGTGGTTGAGCATTGACTGCCAGAGCTCGGGGTCCTAGGTTCGAATCCGGCAGATGAGTAGTAATTTTTCATCAGCCGTGAGTCGACCCTGGAGCCTGGAGACCCTCCTGGGGCAAACCCAGCCTCTATAAAGTGGGTACTCTTAATTAAATAATTAAGAAGGAAAACCTGGCAGTTGAGCGTGATATTGGACCAATCACCTCCTTGCACAACCGTTGACCTTGGTACAGGTAAGAACTATACTACAGGTATTCCTCTTTTAGAAAAACTTGCTTGTTTAATAGGCTTTAAATCCATGTTAATTAAGTTAAGATTTATTAAGAAATAAGTTGAGGTTCACTTCAAGTTGCCAAAAAATGAGGTGATTTAATGTCACGTCATCTAAAAGTACCTGTTTTTTCAGCAAACATGACTGCAATTAAGTAATGCAAAGTTTTAATTTCTATTACCCGGGACGTATTAATAAATAAAATAATAAACATAAATTCATAAATAAAATTTCCATTTATAAAAAAAAAAGTTAAAAATAATGTTTTTAGAATATCTAAACTGATGATGAAACAATGTTTTTTATCAACATCTCTATTACAGAACATCTCTGTGATTTGTATTTATTAGTGACCAACTAAATATTTCCAATCCCAAAATTCATGTTTAAAAATAAAGAAACCTGCTGATTTTTTCATGAAAACGTAAATAATAAGATAAGTAACATCTAGTTGGCGATTTATAAATGCGGATCATATTTTATTATAAGTTTGTTATAATAGATCCCAAGTCAAAAGAAATAAGACATCAAAGGTTTGAAAAAAGAAATAAGACATCAAAGGTTTTCGAAAATTTATTGTAATATTTTTTTCAGTAAATATTGGTACTTTTAGATGACAGGATATTCAAACACCTAATTTTTTTTACACAACTTGAGAGGAATCTCAACATATTTCCCAATCAAAAAATTCAAGATACTTTTTAAAAACATGAAAAAAAATTTTTTTGTGTTTACATAAAGTTTATATTTATATAAACTCTTTACTTCTGAGACACAGATATATAAATATGTACCTGGTTCTGCCATAAATACTGTTACAAAAGTTGAAGTTTGTTTACATCCTTGGGTATTATTTAGATAATCCTTACCTCTATCAAGTTATTTTCTTTATAGGTCAAGGGTAATAAAACCAATTAGTTTGTATTTTTCTTTCGCTCAGTTAACATGGAGTAGGGTGGTAGAAAATCGAATAGCTGTGATTGCCTTACACAAAGTTGGAAAATGGAGGTCAAAGATTTTTAAAACTTTGAAACCTTTAGGTATCAGCCGTATGTTCGTGTACCGTACTATAAATAGATATAATGAGACCCTATCTGTATGTGACAGACCTCGACTGGGCCGTCCCCGCACTGTGAGAACGGCAAATGCAGTGAGAGCAGTGGCTGCTCGAATCAGAAGAAATCCCATTCGAAAACAACAAATCATGTCTCAGGAAATGGGAATCTCTGTCAGATCAATGTCTCGCATAGTAAAAAGTGATCTTTGGATGGGTGCATTTTGAAGAATGACAGGGCAAAGGCTAACCACTTCCCTAAAAAAATTAGAGTGGATAGATGTAAAGTGCTGATTGGCCGTTACACCACAGTCAATAGGTTTGAAAGATTTTGTTAAGCGATGAGAAAGTTTTTACAATTGAAGAAATATTTAATCGCCAAGATGATCGTGTGTGCCCACACAGCTCTAAAGAAGCCAAGGAAGTCATTGGAAGTGTGGAAAGATGCCATAACCCTTCCTCAGTGATGGTTTGGTGGGGAGTTTGCTTTGATAGCAACACAAAGCTCCATTTTTGTAAAAAAGGAGTTAAAACAGCCGCTAAAAACAATCAGGACGATATTTTGGAATCTGTTGTCAAGTAATCATTGTAAATGATACTCTGTTTGCTATAAGTCATTGAGTTTTCCAGCAGGATTCTGCTCCAGCTCACAAGGCCAGGTAAACTCAGCAGTTGCTGCAAAAGAACATTCTAGAGTTCATCTCTGCCTCGGATTGGCCCTCTGAAAGCCCTGATATCAACCCACTAGATTATCGGCTTTGGTCCAAACAGGTGAGGATGGCATGCCACAGAGCAAACTCTATCTTGGAAAGCCTCAAACAATCTCTGGTCAGAGCAGTTGAATGTTTTCCTCAAGAAGGGCTACGTGCTGCTATTGATGACTGGTCACGGAGATTAAATGCCTGTGTCAAGGCAAAAGGGGGACATTTTGAGTAATTTCTATCTTTTTTTTTTTTTTACTCTCTATAGATATATATTTCATTTTCTAATAAAGTTTTTGAAAAAATTAATTTTTCTGTTGAAATCTGTATATATTTCCTTATAACAATATTTATGACAGTACTAAGTATATATGACATGAACATAACATATAAACATTCATACCTGCGGTGTGTAGACATTGATATACAAGCAGTCTTCTGATCCAATTATACTTTTAGTTTGAAAGAAGTCAAGTTGAAGACAAGCAGGTGGTTCCGTAGTTGCATTGTATACACCTAACCATGGGCCTGCTGGAATAGGTTCCTATTAAAAAAGTAATTACAAAAATAAAATATATCAATTTAAAACATAGAAGTCAATAAATGACCAATATCAGAGACAATATATAGTCATTATAATGACAGCATAAAATTTGATGACAAAATTATTTAATAATCATTTCATTATTCCTAGTATATATACTTACTTTAAATCTGTAGTTTCCTACTGGTGGTTCTGCATAAGGTATACTTTCAAAACTAGCTATTTGGCGATTTTTGAATGTTTTTGTATATAATCCTCTAACGATTCCTTGCACTAAAGCTACTTCTGGAAGACTTGATTCGATTAGAAATAAATTACAAAATAATATGAAACAACAGAGAGCTAAGCGAAAAGACATCTTTGATATTTACTAAATATTAGTTGCAGTAAATTATCATTAAATAATTCTTTAAGAATAATATTATGAGATATCATGAGGCAATAATAATTTTGATTATTTTAATTCATACCCTAACCATTAATTGAATTAAAAGAATATTCCAAATGGAATTTAAATCTTTGGAAACATAATAAATAATATGTCAGTATAGAGAAGGTTGAATGATCTGGTTCCAGAGAAGGAAAAGAAGGAATATTTGAAGGTTTGATGCTATCTCCCCTCCATTCTTTCACTCAAGGTCATGTCAATTAAAACTTCAAATTGTAACTATTTAATATAATACAATATTTATTTAATTCCTAAATTTAATTCCTAACAATATTTGTTTACTGTCCTAAGGGGTTCTTAGGACAGTAAACATTACTGAGCTAATCCAGAAATTAAAAATGAACATATACTTCCATTGCTCTTCATTCATATATTGATTTATATTATATTAATAAAATTATTATTTATGAATCAAGTAATTACTTATTTTCTTGAAGAAGGTTATTTGCTGCTTGACATATTCAACATTATATAAAAAAAAGAATACAATTTTATTAAACAACAAATTTATTTATTTTAATTTTTTCATAGTAATTCTATAAACTATTAATTTTAATTGTAGAAACAAATTTAAACATATAAAACAAAACTTGTAATACTAATGAATAGTAGAAAATTTTTTCGATCTTCCATATGAAAATTTGTATTAACTTTATTTCAAATCAAATAAATCTGAATATTTTAGTGAATAGCCATCTTCAGAAACCTATTATTATTTATTTTTGAAACTTTGAAATAATCACATTCATAAAATAGCAACAATACTTCTAGTTTTGCCATTTTTATTTGTAAAGGACTATTGTAACATTTTAATACACTATATATAAAACTAAATTATTATCATTAATAATTTAGTTTTATTAATAGTGTATTAAGAAGTTACAATAGTCCTAATTCCGATCACTGTTAGCCATCTACTCAGGAGAACAGACTCTATTCCCAACTACGGGAGCTAATCTCATTCACCAGATCTGTTCTTCAGTTTTGTCTCCAGATCTTTATACCAATGACATCGTGCTGTTTCTGAATCCCTGATTACAGAAGTATAAGAGGCACCCCTTGTCAGGGGTGCCCCTCTCCCCAAGGTCAATGGCATATAGATCACACCTCCCCTCTCAAAAGATTGTAGTACCCTCCTCTTCTTAAAAACAGTGCAAGTGGAAGTATAATTCTAAAAATAGTAGATAATAGACAATTACAGTAGTTGTGTCTGTCCTGTTTTCCACCTAGTTCTCTATTTTGAAGCTTTTCGCTCTGAAAATTAATAACTCCCTCAAAATGTGCCCCCTCAAAAGGTCAAAATGTGCACCCCTCAAAAACTTAGATTGAGCAACTTGCGCCATTAAACCCCCTTATGAATACATAAATCAACAACAGACTGAATTACCAAATAGAAAACCCTTTACAATCAGAGTTTCAACTTTACTAAATAATAAACTGCTGTTTCGCCAATTTATCCTTGAGGACTTCCTTCTCCGAAAATTCTTCTTTCTCTCGCCAAATTTATTAAAAACAACACAATGCCTTGTATATGTAAACTGGAATTCCTCAAACTCCAAGACAGACTAGGTGATTCTGACTTTATCTACACTGATGGCTCGAAGAACTCACGAACGTCAACATATGTTTTCTCTTTCACCACTATGTAATAATTTTACTGCCGAATTGATTGCAATACATAAAGGTTTAAATGTTATACAGCCCGCTAAACAAAAAATGGTCATATGCACAGATTCTCTATCCGCTCTAATTAGTCTAGGAAATGTTTTCTCATCAAATATCATAGTACAAAACATTCTGTACTCAATAAAGTCCGCAATTAGAAATAATATATCAGTAATTTTTGCGTGGGTCTCTGGGCATTGCGGAATAACCGAACTGGCTGATCGAGCGGCCAAAAAAGCCATTACTGATGGAATACCTTATCGGGGAGTATATGTAGAGGATTTTATAACTGTCAACAGAAAATGAAGGCAAAATGGGAACAGATATGGTCGAATGTAACTGAAAATAAATTGAGAGAGGTTAAGGGTGCCGTTTCCTATTGGACATCGTCAAATAGGAATAACCAGAGAGAGGAAGTAATTCTTCCGCGCCTGCGTATAGGTCATACACGCCTTACCCATGGATACCTGATGGCCCGTGATTCTTCGTCAAAATACCAAACCTATGGGACTCCTCTGACAGTGAAACACATTTTAACGATCTACACTCCATTTTACAGAACAATACGAATGAGGTCGATAAACTGTTTTCTTTTCTGAAATGTTCTAAACTTGAGCATAGAATCTAGTTCTCGATGAAAATAAGACCATAATGACCCTAGTGGTTGAAGCCTAAAAAAAAAACCCTTATGGGCTGTAGAAAATGACACTAACTCAGCTTTCAGTAAATGTCGTATGCACAACAATTAAAACGCCGGAACAAGTATATTAAAATCAATTCAAATAAATTTAAAGTCTTTATTTAAAAAATGGCATTTTTCCTAATACATATCTGAGACGTATTGTTGGTAATGTGTTATAAGTGAATTATCCAGTTTAAAATATGAATATTAACAGTTGTGAATTGAATTTTTACAATCATTTGGAGTAACTTTTGGATTCCCGGCAATGTGATTGATTGAATTTAAATATTAGTCGTTTAAGTTCAATCCAAGAAGATCATCAACATAATCCTCTTCTCACTTACGTATAAGGAAGCAATCGTGTAAGGATGGGAGATGAAGTTGATGGTCTTCTTAAATCGAGCTTCAAAGGATTAAATTTTATCCTACAATTTAAATTTCATCGTGTTGGTAAGAAATTCACGAGTTAAAATTATTTGGAAAATTCACTTAACGACTCTCACGATTCATATTTTAAACTGAATTAAGTTACTATAAAATTTCATGAATGGAAGGTCTTAGATATGAAAGATTAATCGAGAAATGTTGTAAACAAAATTTAATATAAATGAATGAACGAAGAGGAAAATGTACGAGTATATTACGCAGGAGCTGTGAATGAACTGTATTATTGACAAGGTCAAGATTGAAATACAAGCTGTTTAATAGTTGTTTGAAACCAGTTTAGGTAATTATAATACCTTGTAGGTCAATAACACGCTACAGCCTTTTTTTTTTTTTTCACTTCAAGTTCTCAGAAACATCTAGATTAATTTCCTATATTAGGAAAAATGTTAAAAATATGGGCGTTAAATTCAAATAACTGAAGAGAAATTAAGATTGTTCCCAAAACGAAATATAGAAGAAGGAACTAGAAATAGAAGAAGAAGGAACCATCGCTCCCTCGCCTTTCCCAATCAAAATGCAAAGCCTGCTCCTATGGTTTCGGAACAGAACACTGATAAATTCTGACGTTGATTGCAATTTTCGTACTTGAGTCTGCCAATAGATTGCCGCGGCATAAGAAAAGCATAAAACGTTAATTCTTATAGTGGATAGTAAAATTTAAAGAAATTATTTATATTGTTTTCTTTAAAATAAAAAACCATTAATTTTATTATACTTCCTTTGACTGCGATCTCCCAAACAACTTCTCGTATAGAAATCTACAGTCAACAATTTCTTCACCAAAATAGATACGTTATAAGTTAGTGATTGTTTAGATATCTGGCTAAGATAACTCATGAAAATAAAAATGGATTAATGAAAAAAAAAAAATTATTTTTCTATTTTATGGAGAGCTTCAGCCCGAAAGACCACCACCTTCTACGCTAGCGGACTCTTCAATAGCGACACCTTTCAGAAGAACGAATCGCTGTCGAATTATTGTACATCCTAGATTCTAACCTAGATTTAGAAATTATGAACGTCTTCACATAAAAACTATTATTGAAAGATGCGGCTATGGAGTGATAAATTTTTGTATCTACGATATTTTTATTTATTTCTCCTTGTGGTATAAGTAATCACTTATATAAAGGGAATTTTGACATCAATGACGCTCAACGCTCTGGTCGCCCTCATGAAATTGAAACTAGCAATGTTAAGGCCATTGTTGATCAAAACCCCGCCCAATCAGTGCGAGAGATTGCTATGGCCCTAAATGTTTTGCACACAAGCATAGAAAACCATTTGCACAAGCTTGGCTATGGTTCCAGGCTTAATGTTTGGATCCCTCACATGATTTTTTTTTTCTTAAAGTCACCAACAATGTTATAACTTAATAGGACTTTAGCTATCTACAAAAAATTTAGCAGGAATTTAGGGAAACATAAACTACACACAATGACATCAACAGGACCTACATAAACATATTATGAATGGAGATAAAACATGGAAACCTATGAGGAATTTTTGCTTATTTATTCCTTATGTAGGCATTAAATCTAAAAACCATTGATAGGGCTTTGAAGAGCAATGGTTCAACTTTCCAAGGGATATTAACATTGAATTTGGAGAACATATTAAAGATTTATGAATGATCGGAAGGGTGTAGTTTTCCACCAAGACAGCGGTAGGTCACCTCATTGGTCACTCGCAATAAATAATTGAACCTTGGATGGGACAAATTGCCCCACCATCCCCATTTGACAGACATAGCTCCAAGTGACTACCACTTATTCCGTTCACTGCAGAATGGAAAGAAATTCCAAAAGAAAGAGGATATCAAAAACCACTTGGATCAGGTTTTATCAATTAACTCCAGAAATTCCTGGCATTATGCAGTTAGTGGAAAGATGGGAAAAAGTCATATTAAATAATGATCAATATATTGTAGATTAAAATAAATTTTATGTCTATGATATATTGAGTTTTATTTCCCCCTGAAAAACCAAAAGAACTTATTTGCCAACCCAATACTTGGCCTGATGAGCCTACTAGGCTTTTCATGCTGTCTTTTGTCAAATATTGGGCCATTCTTTGTTGCAGAAGTGCCCAGAAGGGGGTTTGATGGTACAAGTTGCGCCATTAAAGTTTTTGAAGGGGACATATTTTGATGGGTTTTTTAATTTTTGAGGAGTGCACATTTCAAAGGGGTTATGAATTTTCAGAATGAAAAGTTTCAGTATGAGGGAAAAGGAGAAAACATGGATTAGACCGCAGCACATGTAAATGTATATGATCTACAATTTTTCTAATTCTACCTTAGATTGCTCTATTTTTAAGAAAAAGTGAGCAATAAAATATGGTGGGAGGCGAGATAGGGTTTTGCACCATCAACATTGGAAGATGGGCAGCCCTTCAGTAATCTGATGAATT